TCATTACCAATATTTTTGTCTGGATGGGACCTTCCTACTACGGTGGGTCTCTCTTGTTCTTCTACCTAATCCAATTTGTTTTCTTCTCCGTTTGATTTCAAAAAGCGTGTGTGCCCACGTATACCCTTTCTAGATCAAGGTAGGCAGCCACGAGTTTTCTGCTTGCTTATAAAAACTCTGGCATGCGTGGCAAAACAAATGAGGTTTCGTGCTGTCGATGAGAGGAGCGCGTTGAGTTCCAATCAATGCATTGCTGCTGATTTCTTGCACACTTTCATCACAAGTTTTTGCAGAATGAACCACAGCAGCAGCAGTTAGAGCTCGTTTCTCTTGAGCTTTTGTTTTGTTTCGGGTCTTCACTTTAAATCAGTGCTCACAGCACTATTAGTGGTGCCGTTTACTCCAACCCGTGGTCATACGAAAGGGCCCCTCTCTACCCTCCCCTCCTGCGATACATTGCGTTCGATTTTAAATGCGAGACGAGTTCAGCACTCTGTTCCCTCTGTCTACACACGAAATATAAATAGCGCTATCCACTACGTCAGGAGCGAAAGCGACAGAAAAACTCACGTTGCAAGAAAAACTCGCTTACGCCGGGATTCGAACCATTGACCTGACCTCGAAAAGGGTTCGAGGATACCAACTAGACTACCGGACCGGCTGCAATAGAGGTTCATGGTCAGGCTCAGATGTTGCACAAAAAAAGGAGTTCTTAGATTTCAAGTTTCGAGGCTCAATTTTCAAACCGTCAACTTCTTAAGTGCGGGCGCTAGAAGTGTAGGGAATGGCGCCCACGCTACAACACTCCATCCAGCCGTCGCGTTCGTTGCGTCAATCCCCGTCCAGTCGTACCCTTACGGTCTATCACATTTGAACGCGACACCTCACTCAAGATGTCTTACGGAAATAGTACTGTAGTGCGGCCACCGGACGTGTTGATTGAGGACATCTCAAACAAGCTTAAAGAAGATGGTAGCCGGTATCGGCCTTTTTTGGTGGGGGGTGATTCCATATCAGGCCTATTGCCCCCTGGAGTCAAGTTCGCCCTGTACATAGTCGGTCGCCCCGGTGGTCTATTGGGTAACCACGCAGCCTGCTAAGGGCCAGGTCATGGGTTCGAGTCCCGGCAGAGTGAGTTTTATTCTCACTAAATAATTCCTGGTCCAGGATGAAAGCGACGCGTTGCAAAGCTCGTTGTTAGTTAACCATAATCGACTTCGTAAGTCGCGAGGGAAGGGATTGATGTACCTTCTCGCGATAAAAATACCTCAGGCAGGAACCGCAGGAGGGGGTCCAGCCCCCCCTCCTATGTGACCCCGGTTGGGTCGTCTAGCTAGTATAAGCGGAGGATGANAGGTCATGGGTTCGAGTCCCGGCAGAGTGAGTTTTATTCTCACTAAATAATTCCTGGTCCAGGATGAAAGCGACGCGTTGCAAAGCTCGTTGTTAGTTAACCATAATCGACTTCGTAAGTCGCGAGGGAAGGGATTGATGTACCTTCTCGCGATAAAAATACCTCAGGCAGGAACCGCAGGAGGGGGTCCAGCCCCCCCTCCTATGTGACCCCGGTTGGGTCGTCTAGCTAGTATAAGCGGAGGATGAGGGCCAGAGGGGCAGACGACAGAATCCGATGATGGGAGAAAAAAAAAAAAGTCGGCCTTCAACAACAAGGAGTACCACTCACTACTTGGGCTTTGGGTTAGGTTAGCCGCCACGAAATACAGTATTATTTCTTCGTTCGTGAGTAGTGTGGGACTCCGTGAAGGCTTTGCTTGTCTTCTCTGTTAGTAAACAATAACTCGTCAGTGCGCCACGGATGGGTGTATTGGGCTTTCACCGGGGCTTGTTCAGTAGAATGTGTCAATATCGTAGAGCGATCTCGGTGACCTCCTGCTCACTCCGCATCTACGGCAGCAACCCGCCTGTGACTCGACGTCGTGGTTGGTCGTCGAAATATTCGGGTGTTTCGCGAGGGAAAGGCCTGAACTTACATTTTTTTTTTTCCCAGACACCGCTACTGAATCATCGACCTTTACTGATTCTTATCACGAAAAAAAAACAGAGAGTGCGCAACGGATAGGTGTGGGGCTGCTGTCATACTTTTTCTATTCTATTTCAATACTGTTTCTCTTTTCACGAAAAAAATGGATAGAAAAATGCACAACGGATGGGTGTGGGACTGTCACATTACTTCTTGTTCTATTTACTCACCGTGATTCATGTTTTTGGTGTAGATTGTGACGAACCAAAAAAAAATATGTGTGCAACGGATATATTTGTTCTTACCGGCTCTTCCCTGTGTGACATGTCTTGAGAATGTTTTCCTGCGATTTTTTTTCCTCTCCGGCTGATGTCGCCGCTGCCCTGAGGTCTCATTCTACTTCGTCTGCCCAAGGCTAGACACAATAATATCTTTTCCTCGCAACGCTGCATCCAGCACGTTCGTTTGAAGATCCCGTGTCAATTCCGGTCGGTCGCCTCACCCATGAGGAGAGGCGACATGGTCCGCCTAAGCAGCATGATGAACGCATTGTTCATCTCCTTCATCGCAATGATCGTGATCAACGTCGGCGTTGCCATGGCAGGAGTCAGCTCCGTAGGAGGACATTCTACGCCGGCGGTAAGTCCAGTCGAAGTAGGGACACGGGTCAAGGTGTAGATTAGACTATCGGTCTCCGCAATCGACACATTCAGTGGCCAACCTTCTTTCTAACAATGGATCGCGTCGATCGCTACCGTGGCGGTTCGAGAGTACAAAGGCTACAGCAAGATCTGGAGCATCTGTCGAAATCTACTCCCTGCATCTCGCCGCTGTTTTCGTACGTACGTCTGCGCTGTTGCGCCTGACTCCAGATCGACGTCTTGGTCGACAACAACGGCGTCATGTTTCCGACTCCATCCTTCGCGCAGCTCGCAGGAGGTAAGTGAAGATAAGGCCACCGACCGACTGTACGTCTCCTGTGAACGCACACCACGTACATGTCCATCTGCCGCTCTGCCGAGGTACTGGCGGTCTACATTGTTGTCGAGAACGACCTGCTTCCCCGAGAAAAATGCAACGGGTAAAAGCCGGATTTGACCTGCGCGCATACTTTTTTTCCATCCATGCAGCCTTTACAAAACATCGGGTTGCGCACCTCCACCGTGGCATCACCGAATACGCACAAGCTTCTACGTAACCTCCGCGCCTTCTTATGTTGGCCGTAGACTGCAGATTGGCAGAATCACACGAACAAACTGTACGCGTGTGTGGACGTGCGATCCACGAGAAAGATCTGGCGGGTAAAACGAAGGACACTGGAAATCGTAATATTTCCCGCAGCAGTGACAGCACCCCATCACGTTCAGCGCAGAACAGTGTATTGTGTGTGAAAGAAATGATGCAGTTGCGCATGGTAAGATACTTGTCGGGCAAGGATTTCTCACGTGGCGGGTGCCCATGCGATGTCGACGTCCGCGAGAATCGTAAAAACACATAGTCTACCTAATTTCCAAAATCCTTCGCGAGGCCGCTGTTGACATAGACTAGTCTACATGTCGACTACAGCAGTCCAGAGGCTCGCTCTCCGATGCCAATCCACACACACAATGTTGCATTGGATTTCTTTAGTCTCTGTGGTAATTTTGAGCGGGGCACGGTTCGTGGGCCATGATCTCTGCGTGTGGTGCCTGCAACCGCTGCTGCTGTCCATGTGTGTTGAGTCGGCTGCGAAGCCAGCACGAACAAATGTAGTGCACACGAGCGCTATTGTCTACATCGAGACTACATGCGGGCACCGCTGTGAAGACATGATAGGCCGCAGCGAACACTTCATCTATGCCCAACCGCGCTCAAAAACAGCTTGGCTATGAAGGGCAAGCATCAAATGTGGTAGCACCTTGACCTCTGAAGGACAGAGAGACGGAGGACAGGGTCGCCCGCATGGCGCATCTGCGCATCGTCGTCAGACATGCGACAGCACTGTGGACGTCGGCCAATGACGGCACCCGGAAAAATATACTGGCGGGATATTTTCAGCCTAGGCAGCGGGGTAACTGCGTAGGGTAGGGCCTCAGATAAAGCTATTGCAATGAATACCATCGTATATAGCTCACGGTGTAGGAAGTGTGGGGCGGATGTTGGATCGAGATGAGGATTGCCTTCGTGCGATGGATGTGACTAGTCTTATGGTTCCGGTATGTCGCCATAGAGTGTTCACTTCGTTTGTGTGCACTTCAACCAGCTTTTTAACCAGCACCTTGGGACTGATTTTGACTGATGTAGACCAGTCTTGGAGAGGAGGGGTGGTTCATGGCGTGTGAGCTGCCCCCCTCCTCCTCCGTCACCCTATCCATGAGCCTTGTTCACGTCGTGGTCTTTCGCTGTGATTTCTAGGCGACGAGGATGTCATCGCCTCGTTGCAAGCGACCGTATCTCCTTCCTCCCACCCGAGGAAGAAGGTTGGGAAGTTCTTCAGGCCTATCCTTCGCCTGCCCCAGGTCAGTTTGTTGCCGGTTGCGCAAGGTATAGCACTGGCCCATAGGAAGAATAACGAACGCCTTCCTATCGTGTCGGTCAATTGCTAGACTAAGTTGCGTTTGTCACCATGTGGCAGGCGAGTGTTTCAATGAGGACAACAGTTCATCCATGTGTACGGCTGTATGTATGCGTAAGTCGCTCTCAACTTCTCATAAAAAAGATGCTTTAATACAATCAGAAGACTGCAGGTATCTGGCTGTAGGCTTAAGACTACCTCTCCCGACTCCTTCCCCAACTACCGAACGCCAATCATCTGCAGTATCTCCGTCTCGAGAATCACGCCACCCTTGTCCCGTGAATAACACTTTTTTACATGCGCATTGATACACTATGTCTGCCGTAAAAGTTTTTTTCCGAACCGATCGACACGTGTTCGTGTGTACATACATGTTCGTTTAGACCGACATTCATCACGTTCCACTTGCCACGCTCACTCCTAGGGCTACTAGAGGATTTCGATGGTGACTTGCCTCACGAGAGGATGCCGAACTTCAAAATCCCGAACTTTGTCGTGGTCTGAACCTGTTTGGGAATGATCGGAGAGAAAATTCCAAGGACGCGACCCCCCCTCTGTGTGACGATAACGAGCCTGAACAAGCGGGTAGTAGGCGACACCCTCACTTGCGATATGGCAAAGAACACAACACCTTCCCCCTGCGCATCTTGCCTATCTTGCATTCGCAGGTCTTCTCGTCTCCCACTCCGTCCCCGCAAGAGTGCACCCGCGTCGAGCTCTCTGGGAACTTATCGCACGCGGTGAGCGACGTGCCGTCGCAGTTCACCGTGCAGGTCAAGGTGAGTACGAATGACTAGACTGCACGAGCGTCTGTCTTTCCGGGGGTGGTTGTCCCACCCGGTGTGTTCGCGTATGGTCCAACTCTACCGCATATGGTAAGATACAGTGTATGCTGCACCTGGCCAGAACGCACGAGGGTCTCTCTCTGTGGGTGATGAATTTTGACGCACACGGTGTGCGGCGTACGGTTCAACTTCACCGTGCAAGTCGACCCATGTTGGCTTCTGCGTTGAAGTGCGACCATATATCGCCGACAAAACCCATCCCAAGAGAAGTCGACTAAATTCTTGCTGGGCCTGAGTAGGAGACGCCTCCTTGAACGGTAAGACCTACTGATGCAAGATGGGGAGGATGCACAGAGGGCAGCGCAATGTTCCATGTCGTATAGTAAATTTGTGCCTTTTTGCTGGTGTTGTTCCTTATTGCGTGGCCTGTGCCGTTGTTTCTGGTGTTTTTTTCTTCTTGCCGTCCTTGGTTGTCACGAGTGTTATCTTTATTAGACAAAATGCTCGTTCATACTGTGTGTCTGTGGGGACAACCATCTGCAGGACTCTCACGGGGCCAACTCCTCAGGAAGCAGTTGGTGGCCATGGAAGAAGGCTGGTATCGAGGTCAGTGACTGCGTGCACCACGACCATATTGGGAGGAAGAACATGTTGCCTTAATTGGAACCGGAGTGGAATTGCCTCTCTCGATGGCGGATATCCTGCAGTTGCTGACTGTCATCGCTTATCTGGGGGGAACAACGTAGGAAGATGACTAGAATAATACGGGACGTTCCTCACGACGAACGGTAAGAAAATGAATGGGAAGGGTCACCTGCTTTTGGTGGCTAGATAGTTTGGTGTGTACGAAGTAGAACGGCAACTACGCCGCCTGCACAGCAATAGTTATCGCCGTTGTGCTGTGTTGCACGGCTGCCAAGCGTACGTATGGTGGCATGGAATTCGTGCTGCATCCACATGTTTTTTCACGTGGATCTTTCTTGTGTTTTGAACGAACCGCGGCAGGTGGACCTACGAATGTTGGGCTCTACGCACAACCGCTCTCTCCGCCGGGACTTTGTCGCGTCGCCGGTCGATCTCGGCAACGGGCAGTTCCTGGTGGAATACTTCACCATCCAAGTGAGTGACAAGAGTGTACAATAGTTGTTGCCTTAAGAAAGATGGCATTGAACCTACAGCAGTAGAGGCGGGGTCCTCACCGTACCAACAGCAGTTGGATAACGGTTGCGTACACGGAACATTCCATCCCATCACCACCCGGTACAACAGCAGCAACATGATCGGGCGGGGTGCAAGAAGAAAACCAAGAGTTCATCCACCAGCGATTTGGCAAAGCAATACGGCTCGATGTTCAGCTAACGAAACTCTTTGCCGCTTGTTTCCCACGCCCCCCAGCCCGGGACGTACGAGTGGTCCGTTAAGGACTCTGTGGGGGAGCACGTGTGCGACATCCACGGGACTTCGTGTTCTCCGTTTCAGGTAATGACGTCGCGTGACACACTCAGAAGGCAACCCAGCCGTTCCGCACCAAACGCAACACTCAAGACTCAAGACTTTGTTTCTTGTGGAAGCCAAGACTCAAATGTACGGTTCGGAAACTCTTTGAGAGGGCTGCAAGAATTTTGTCCCGTTCAGTAACCATCGACACTGTGTGATAAAAACATGTTGTTTTTCTACTCTGGTTTGCCAGTCTCGTTCCTTTTTAGTTTTTTTGTTAGTCGGTGTAAGCGCCACGTGCTGTTTCAACCCAAGCCGTCCCATATCGCACCCCGTTCGCGGAACAATTACTGCTGGGATAATCCTTGTGGTAATTGGTCGGTAGTTATTGTCGCATTTAGTACGCTTGTTCCAGACGCGGTATTTAGTCTTCCCTGGCCCTCACACTCTTGCCTGACCGTAAACCATGGGCTACCCATTTGCTGCCAGAAGCCAGTATCACTAGCGACAACAACAACACGAGCAATCACCACAACAACGACAACGGCAACAGCCACGACCAAATGAAAGTGCTGACAGCGGCAGCGGCAGCAACAACGTATTGCATCGAGTATTTCCGCAGGTAGCGCTCCTGACCGTCGCACGGACGTGTGTCGTCATCGGGTCAGATGGAGGCGGTCTCCGACCGCACCGTTCGAACCCAGTCGGTGTCGGCAGGAATAACACCCTTGTCTCGAAACGGAACATTTTGTTTCGGGACGACGTATTACGCTCGTCCACACAGCCTGCGCCTCGACGGTGCGATCAGAGACCACCTCCATCTGGCCCGATTCTGGGACGTTGGGAAAAGGACTGTACAGCATATTTTCTGGTCGTGGCACGGATGTGTGTATTTCTTTTTACCAACGACTTCTCCTTCTGCTTCATCCCCGGACGTTTCCTGGCCAGATGGAGGTGGTCTCCGACCGTAGCGTCGGAGCCCACTCGGTCGCGGAGGGCATCGCACCCTTCTCGCTGAACGGGGTCTTCCAGGCGGTGGCTGGCAGCAGCCAGACGTTCCGTGTCCAGGTACTCGAACCATTGTCGCATGTCTCGCAGTACTAGCACCAGGGTTGAACGTCGCACCGTTCATGAGAACGACGCTGTCAGTCCCAAGATGCAACAGGCTTGGTTGATGGAAATAACTCTCCAAAGAGAGTGGTACATGTGACAGAGAGTGATTCTCGTGCTCCGGAGCCCACTTCTCGCTCAAGGGGCTGTTGAGGAAAGTCGAACCAATCTGCAGTGGCCGAAAGAGATCTATGGCCAATGTCGTGCTCGTCACCAATAAAACGCCACGTCTATTTTCCGTCCCCTTCACTCGCCGCCATTCGACAGGCACGCGACAAGAACCACTTCGACCGTCTTCAAGGCGGAGACAGCGTAACCACGTTCGTTGTGCCCGTGGAACCCGCGAGGTGGGAAGAGAACCAGCGCCACGAGGGCTACGCCGGCACCGTCGTCGACAACGAGGATGGCACCTACGACGTGTCCTACAACGCCGAGCTCGCCGGGTGAGAACGCCGTGCTTCCCGTGCAGGGAAAAAATCTTGTTTTTGTCTGAACACGGGTGCGCGTCACGCCTTATTGGTTGGATTCACCGGTCTTGCTTAGCGTGTTGAAGAATTGTCATGTACTTGGGTCTGAACATGTGTGCGTGTCGCGCGTGACCTCACGTGGGTTGGATTCGCAGACCGATTGCGATAAATAGCATTCGGCAGAAGCTGCAACAACCGCCTCCCGCCCCCCCCCCCCCCCCCCCCCCCCCCCCCCCCCCCCCCCCCCCCCCCNCCCCCCCCCCCCCCCCCCCCTACGCGTCGTTGGTTCGTCAGGACGTACACGTTGCAGGCGCGCATCGGCGGCGAGAGGGTCAGCCACTGCAAGGCCAGCGTCGTCCCGACTGGCGCGGCAGCGTACCCCGCCTGTGCGTTTGAGGACCCGGTGCTCACCGTCGTACACGGCGAACTGGACGGCGCCAAGTGCACGGTGTTGGGCTTCCCCGACAAGACTCGACCCACGGTACACTCGGCAGGGATAGCCAAGAACTTCTCTATTGTGTCGAAGGATTCCTTCGGAAACACGAGGTTTGTGACACCACCAGAGGGTATAGACTCGAAGTGAAAATTTGACGCCGTGGGAATACAACCTATTTCTCGTAAGCATAGGACACCGTTGCCATTCAAACTCGGACCACGTTTGTTGATGGTGAAGTTATGAACCTCTGCATCCCATCATCTCAGGTACTTATTGGAGTTCCCCGGATTGGTAGATACTAGTCGAAAGCCAGGAACGCTAAAACCATTTTCATTCAGCAGCGCTTGGCATAAGTCAGACGCTTGGTATAGCGCTCAAATACATGCGGTATTCGATCGTAATCTCGATTGCATCCCACGGATCAATGTACGGCAGGACCGGGACACCTTTAGGGTGGTTGTACCCTTTTTAAGTAGGAGACACCTGCAAGCTCATCACAGGAAGCTATGACGAGCATAGAAGATTCACCTTTGCCCTTCTCAACACTGGCTGACCTTTCCACGCTGTGCCCTTTCTCATGTACCAACCAGGACGGGACCGAGCTTGGGAGAGCACGGCGACGACAGGTCAGACGTGTTCGTGTTGACGCTCTCCGACGACCACGGCCACGTAGTGCGGACGACATCGGCCGTGCAGACGATCACCGCCGCCAACGCCACGGAAGGGTAAGTACCAGGAGCTTTCAAGCGGATAGGGTAAGGGCCAGGTGTTACAGCAGTCAACGGCACCACTCGACACCGATCATGGCCGTGTTTTCTAAAGTGTGTCTTGTTACAGCACCTCTCTACGATGCACGGTTGTTCTAGCGCAGGTCACAGCACCAGCCTAGAACAAGAATACCACCCACGTCCTAGCGTCAAAACTCTAATCACCTCAACAGAAAAGAAAAACAGCCATCAAAACAGGATCACAAGTCATGTAGGATGAAAAACCACCCAACCACGTACTGCTGTGTTCCCTTGTGCCATGGAAAACCAAGCGCCTTCGCCCGACACCCCCCGTTTATCCCGTTGATGCTACCCCGCAGCTCGTTTCGGCTAGAGTTCGGTGGAGCCACCTCGCGGCAGCTGTCGACCTCGGCGAGCGCGAGTGAAGTCCAGGCGACTCTGATGGGGATCCTGGGAGACGACACCGTCAACGTCACGGTTTCCAAGTCAAGAGTCCGCTCCGGCAGCGTGGCGTGGCGCGCGACGTTCTTGTCTCACCTCGAGGTGTGTGCTGGTTTCTTCCCCCCCCCGTGAGATCGATCAGGTTCTCTAAAATATTTCGGGTTTTACGGAGGTAGCTTCACCAGCAATGTGTTCACCAAGTATCCTCTCGAAATTTTATAGTTTGACACGTTTCGACAGCGAAGGGAGGGCGCGACGCTATTGAAGCTTTCGAAATGCAGATAAACTACGGAAGGGGTGAGTGTAGCGTCGGAACGCAGTAGTCATCGGCTGCAAGGCAAGTGAGCAGATGTGAGCCTGCTGATGGTAGAGTTATTCTGCATGAGAGTACTTCGGCGGTCATCGCTTCACGCCACTCGGGTTGTTGTGTAATTTCGTACCCGCTCCTTACAAAAAACAATCTGATCCAGGAATGGAGCGAGAGTCCTCTGCGCGTGGCCCCCGCTGAAGATGGCCGCACGAGCGTTTCCGTGGAGCACGAGGCTTCCAATGGAGTGTACCCCATCCAGTACACTCTGCGCATCCCCGGGCGCTACGACATGCGCATCACGGACGTGGCGGGACAGGTGTGACATTTCTCGAGCATCGATTGTTGCCCGGGTGGCATACATGCGTTTCACGCGCTAGCTTGTTCACGACGGTACACAGCATGGATTTTCGAAGATGAACTAAGCCAAACATTTGGCAGTTTCCGGAACAACACCGGCCAATGGCAGGTATTCCGTGTGCAATGGACACCATTCGACGCACCGCTTGCGTAGAGGTCACATTGGCCCGATTGTACGCCCGAACGGACACAATCGGTTTACTTGCCCCGAATATATCAAGATGCTTTGACCACTATCGCTTCAGACTTCACCAAATTCATGTCCCACACGTAGAGTCGCGCGCTTGTTGACTTTCAGCGCCCCCTGTGCAGGTAATGATACGACATGCTTGCCTGTGCCTGATGCCCCCGCCCACCCAGGTGATCGATGGCGGGTCTCGAGTCGTTCAAGCAACCAGCGTGCGCACTAAGGCTTCCTTGTCGACGGCAACGGGCACTGGCCTTCACGGGGGAGTTGCAGGGAAGCGCCTAAGGGTCGTCGTGCGGGCCCGTGTCATCGCCGATCAGCCCGAAGTGCAGGCTCTATCGGGTTGGACAGCGGTAAGATTGGTGCATAGGCCGCAAGAAGAAGTTGTAAGCAGGAAGAGTCCTACGGTCTCGATAATATGAGACATCCAATGGAACATTGGAGCACAACAATACGGACTCGCGTGAAGAAAAGGAGACGGCAGACGTGTTCAATATGCTAAACATGTATGACGATGAGGTCCTATCTTACTACGCAGCATCACAGCCTCAACCCCGGCGTACTTCATTGTCTTTGTCTCGGTGTGTTGAATGCTCGCTGCCTTGCCAGGAAAACGAACCAGAAGGGAACGGCACGTGCGTGGGAGTGCTCGCGCAAACATTCGAGCTGGCCCACGGTGGCGAGCGCACCCTGCCCATCCCCTTCGGAGCGAGCGCTGGTGAGGATGGCTTCGGGATCGTTGTACCCGAAAAGACCACACGTGTTGTCGTTGTCAAGAGAGTTCTCGCAAATCCTAACCTCTCATGATTCTTTCCGACGGCGCGCGACCGTGATTGGTTGCGAGGGAGGAAGGCTGCTTCCCGGTCTCCCCAATACGGTGTGATTCCCGATGTGTTGTGTGCAACAACCGAGCATGTATTTCCTTGAGATGCCGAAGTCATGCTTAGATAGGCAGACAATTCCTCGCCAAGAAGCTGATTGACAGAACTAGCTCCCGCATTGACTGCGCCCGTGTTTTTTGTGTGTTGACGGCCATGCATCAAAGTGACAAAAATCGAGCTCGCCTCCCTCTCTCCGTCTCCAAGCAATCTTCTGAGCGCCTGCCCCCTTTGTGTTATTTTCGGGACTTAGGCGAGGTGGCGGAGGCCCTCAAGGCGCTCTGCAGTCCCATGGCCGCGGTTGCGAGGTCAAGCGAAGACGAGCTGTCTCCTCTGTGGCTCGTTACCTTCGACGGCGACAGCAACAGCATGTGCTGAGCACTTGCTGTTGCTGTCGCCTTCGAAGGTAACGAGCCACAGAGGAGACAAATCGTCTTCGCTTGACCTCGTAACCTTCGTCATGGCAGTGGGGAGCCCTTGGAGGGCCTCCGCCGTCTCGCCTAAGTCCCAAATAACACGCAAAGGGGGCAGGCGCTCAGATTATTGCTTGGAGACGGAGAGCGGGAGGCGAGCTCGGTTTTTTGTCACTTTGATGCATGGGCTCAACAACAAAAAACGCGGACATTCAATGCGGGATCGGAGCGAGCGCTGGTGAGCATGAGATAGATGGCTTCGGGATCGCAAACCGAAAGACCACACGTGTTGGCGTTGTCGAAAAGACTTCTATAATAGCAGATCCTAACCTCTCCTGGGAAGGCTGCTTCCCGGTCTCTCCAATGCGGTGTAATTCCCGATGTGTTGTGTGCAACAACCGAGCATGCATGTCCTTGAGATGCCGACGTCATGCTTAGATAGGCAGACAATTCCTCGCCAAGAAGCTGATTGACAGAAGTAGCTCCCGCATTGACTGTGCCCGTGCTTTTGTTGTTGAAGGCCATGTATCAAAGTGACATAAACCGAGCTCGCCTCCCTCTCTCTTTCTCCAAGGAATCTTCTGAGCGCCTGCCCCCTTTGTGTTTTTTTCGGGACTTAGGCGAGGTGGCGGAAGCCCTCCAAGGTCTCCCCACTGCCGTGGGGACGGTCACGAGATCGAGCGGAGACGATTTGTCTCCTCTGTGGCTTGTTACCTTCGACGGCGACAGCAGCAGCAAGTGCTCCAACGGTGCGAGGGAGGAGGCAGAACGCGTCCACCCTTGCCCGACATTCGAGGGCGACCACGAGGTAGACTAAGCTATATAATAATGTTGTCCGCCAAGACGAGGTATGCTAGTGTCGTCCGCCGAGACTCCCTCACGCTTCTGATACGTTCGCAGGGCAACTATACAATAGGTGTGTCATTGGCAGCACCAGGCTCTTGGGGGTGCAGGTAGAGGGTAAGTAGATGTCTTTAATGCCCAGCTGAGGGTCAAGAATGCACTAGGGCAGACGGGGGCTACCGGTAGGAGGGGTACTTGCACTGGTCTTGATCATTCTGGAAAGAAAGACAATGCCTGATGGTCATGGGTGAAGTCAACAACAGAGTAAATACATATTGTCCCATGCCCGCGTGTCCACTCCCGCTGTAGCTTCATCGAGGTCAACCTCAATCTTGGCGCCACTCGCGGTTTGTTCTCTGCAGCCCCTGCTTGGCTCCACGAGCGAAGAATCCACCTGTCTCTCCGGCCGTGACCGACCGTCTCGAGGCATCCGCGTCACCGAAATCGTCAAGGGCACTCCGGCAGTAAACCAGGTACAGTCAGTACTACCACCGCCTTCCCCTTTCCTCTTGGGCGTGCTTCTTTTCGCGATAGTAGGCTGTTACCCCGACCTGTTGCCCCCTGCCCCGGGCGGCTAGGTCAGCACAGAGCATTGACCTGATAGAGCATACAGCGGCTTTGAGACAAGCAGAGACATCAACACGAAACGTATTATCGACAGCGACGGCAACGGCAGCAGCAGGAACAGCACGAACAGAATGGAGTTCTGCGTGAGTGCCTTGTCCCTCACGACTGCTTGCCGACCGAAAGCGATTTGTATTCGATCGAGCTCTGGCTCGTTTGATATTTTTCTCAGTTTATCGCCGTTTCGCTTCTTCGCGCGCCGCAAACGCAGATCGATTCACGAGATCTGGCCACGCTGCGGTTCTCCCTGTTCGCCAACAACGGCAACACCTACACTCCGCCGTCCGACAACATTGATCCGGTGATCGCGATGCACGAGAAGCAGGAGCTGACCTGCACCATCAACGAATCGACCGGAACGATGTCGAGCAACTTTGGGTTTCGGCTCAACATGTTTGGAATGGATGCCTTCTTTGAGGCCCGCGGCACCATACAGGATCTCAGGTGTAACCGCAGGCCCGAGAGAGACCATCAAATAGGATGTGTTCGCCGTGTATTCGGCTGTTCCCGACTTGGAGGACGATGTACGTACACGTACACCGTTTCGTCTGTCAAGGAAGTCTAAAATGCATCAGAAAGCCGTGTGAGCCATGTACTCGGCTTTTCACGAATTTGTGTGTACACGTCTCGTCTTGTGTTGAGAGCATCCACTACAATGCGCCCTGGATGCGCCCTGGTCGAACGTACGGAGTCTTTGTGGGTACAGCTCAGCAACAGTAGTTCAGCAGCAAAAGTTGTCTGGGTAGACACACACCAGCGCAGAGCACGGCCGGTAATGTAAGCGCCGAACAAAAATCACAAACTCCAAGGCTGGTACTTTGTTTTTTCGACGAGGAGGTCACTTTCGCCAGTACGACTGAGAGCACACACGAACAGCTCTGTGAAAGCTTCATGAGAGATTCCTCTTGCTTTACAAGCTCTGTTGTATGACCACTTTTCCAAGAGGAATTCCTGCATACGACGCTCGCTGAAAATTTCTCAACCAACCGACTCACAGAACGACCAGTCTGTCTGTTTAAGCGTGTCAGGAACTTCAATTGTCTCCCTGGATGACCCTTCCTCTTGTGCTCTCTCCGCGATACGCCCTACTGGTATTTTGCCGAATCCTTAAATCAGGCACCACCTCGAGAAGATGTTGGCCACCGCCCACAACAAGCACGGTCGCGTGCAGGTTACCTCCACCTTTGGGCAACAAGCGTTGTGCGGACCGCGGGGAAACAAGGTGAGCTGATTGATACAGTAGCGCGTGCGTGCGGCGCACACACTAGGAATGACTAGCCCAAATGGTTTGATTTCGGGTTGTAAAGAAGCTTGAAAGGAGCGCAACCCCGACGACATGCGCGCATAACTTACATGGGTCATTGATTCTGTGATACCGAGAGGAGGAATGAAAAAACTTCAAAACAGCGTGCATGACACGCAGGAGGTCGAGCAAGCTCCTCTCGGTATCACAGAATCAATGCCCATGTACATTTGCGCGCGGCGCGCAAATGTACATGGGCATTGATTCTGTGATACCGAGAGGAGCTTGCTCGACCTCCTATGAAAAACTTCACAACCGCGTGCATGGCATATTGGCGCATAGATGTCCTGCATTTCATAGAGATATTATGCGTATAGGTATCGTGCGTGAGCGACGTCTTCATCGATATGTTTTTAGATCGTTTCGAGCTCCTACTTGTCTTGTTCGGAGAGTAATATCGCGTTATTCCTGCTCCTTCCCCTGTGTTAACTACGGCCTACTAACAGGTTGTGATAGAATTCTCCCGCATCAGCGGCGCCCCTCCGGAGCTCAAGATTTCGGACTATGTCGGCGTGTCCCACGTCTCCATTCGCCAAGTGACGAAGGCCGTTGACTCCGTTTCGTACGTCGGGCAAGGCCGGTGAGTTAAGACGGCAAGGAAGGTTGATGCATTGATGAGGTCTGTTTCCCAAACCTACTTTATTATTACCTGGGCGGGTTGCGGCTTTTGCTGAACTCTGCGTTTTGGGGTCTATGAGAAGTCGTCGCGTTGTGTAGGACTGCTAGGAAAATCCTGATTCAAACAGTACGACTGGTAGATGAGAGCTCGGCGAGGTTCGTCTCTTGCGTGCGGCGCAATCGGAATACTTTTGACAGGCTCTGTTGCTCGAGAAGTAACCTAGTAGCCCCCCGTAGACGTAACCATGCAAGAATCACATAGACGGCGTTGTTGGTGACGGCAGCACATATTGTTTTGTGTCTTGTCTCAACGGTTTTCCATCCAACAGCAAAGGGTTCTGTTGTCATATTTCGTCGACACCACATGCACAATCAGCAGGCATCTGCCGGCCGGATAGGAGGCCGTGAAATGACACGAGCGGACTATATATATATCAGAAATACGGCAAGAACTAGCTGTCGTCTGCACAGGTTTCGACATACGTCCAGCATTCACACGCAACCATCTCTTTCCGCTCTCTCTCTTCCCGGCCGAACGATTCCCAGGTACGTGATCGAGTACACCCCGGTGCTCGCCGGGGATTTCTCCGCCAAAGTTCTAGTCGCCGGCGCCATGATCCCACTGTCGGGATCGATGGGAGAAGTAACCATCCTGCCGTCGTTCGCAGGCCTCAGGGGGAAACTCCAGGTGGACAAGGTGAGACATTGTACGACGGAAAGTACTCGGTGAACGTCGTAGGAAGCTCACGACAGGTATTCCGTCATTCTCAATAGACGTTGTGGATTTATCTCGCAAGACAGCAAGATGAGTTGGTTGCTGTACGGTCTTACTCCCCCCTCTCAGAGGGGGATGGGGCCGCATCGACTTGAGTAGGAGAATAGTTCCTATTTCAGGGGGCGGTTCAGGACTTGAAAGGTGAGACCAAGGGTGTTTTGCATCCACAGCATTTAAGATGGAAAAAAGGCAACGGCATCGGCATGTAGAAGGAACGCAGCCTTCGAGACAACGGAGCGGCTAACTTATATGTAACTGTCCGCCAAGCGCACCCTGATTTAGTGCTCTGCGTAGGAGTACTAATGTCGACGGCAAGGCCGATACGTTGCTCTTCCGGCAGGGGTCCCGTACCTCCCTACAGTGGGAAACCGCAGACTCGCGTCCAACTTTGTTTTCTGCCGATGCACCCTTCCTTTCAATCGAAAAGTCCGGGGTTGCTGGAGTCCAGCACCACGTCACGGTCACCCCCAGCGACGAGTACGGCAACGTCATCGACCCGAGCAACCTGCCGCCAGGCCAACGTCTCGCGATCCGTGTCCGGGGCTTCCCCGACCCCCGCGCCGACGTCGACAAAGAGTCGGAGTCGTTTCTGGTCGACCTTGAGACGGAGATCGATGGCCTCGACCTGAACGGTAACGCCAGGTTCGTGGGATCGTTCACGCCTATCGCTGCCGGGTGGTACGTCGTGCAGAGTGCTTTCGTTGGCCCAGGCGGGCCATCCAAGGCGTTCTTGGACTTCGCGGAACGCGTTGGCCAGCCAGGACACCTCGAGGCGCAGGTAAGGGTGGACGGAATACCTGGTGTGTGATGCTGCTCACTGTTTGTCCATGTCGCGGGAGGGACTATCTGATGTTCAGAGTATCGCGAAGGTAGTGGCGTTTGTTGCAGCTGTGCACAAAAGGAGCTGTCGGTAATGTAGGCAAGAGGTGGCCAGGCAAACTGGTTGCTCGTACTTGGTGTTGGGAGCGGAAATTGTGCCTCGGATTCGATGCTTATCTCCTACACTACAGCGAACTTCGTACGCCTCCATGTGTTGGCATAAGCCTGAGCTATGTTGGTCGGTGGGAGAACCTGACCTACCCAACACACGCCCGTCCTGCTTGTGTTGCCCCACTCTCCTCCGATTTGGTTCGCAGGGCATGGTGCGGACGCACCAGTTCTTCGACGACGACGTCCAACTGGCCGGCGTCCTCGTAATGCCGGGTGACGTCTCCGCCACCCAGTCGTCCATCGCCGGACGGGGGCTGCACGAGTGCTTCATTGGAACGCAGGTATGTGTGTCAACATTGTTGAGTGTATTTTGTACTACTGGGTAGGCTGTTTGTCCTTATCCGAACCTTTATACCCTAGTAGAAAATAACCACTGTCGAGGAAGAGTGTGGACACCTCGCTGCTGTCGCACTCGGTGACTCACCGTAAGGGAAAAAACGTATCGTCCCGCGCCACACGCCATGAACCCGTCTTTCCCTCTCTCGCAATTGGCAGGGGCCGAATGAGTGCGCGTTCACGATCACCTCTCGTGACGCCTTCGGGAATAAGCGGTTCCATACGAGGTCTGACGAGTGGCTCGCCACCGCCAACGGCATCGCTGAGCACGGTGGACTCCCTTCTTCTGATGCAGACGCCCAAGTCGTGTGAGTCCGGTTTCACGAAGGTGTAGGCGTAGCAGCCAGCTGATCGGCACGATACTGCTGAACACACGATTTCAACCAATTTACTTATCTCTGTGGAAAGACTATTTAAAAGATTTGATGGTCGAGAGCCGGGGTGTGTCCGTCGCTCTCTTGTCCATTTCAAATTGTGGTGGCGCTGAGCACTGCGGGTGTTGATGCGTTCCCAGCAGCCTTCCCCAAGACTTTCCGACGGGCGCGACTTTTTCCGTCGGCAAACAAAAAATTGTTCGCGGTGAGGAGGTTTTGCACAGGAGTGAGGCGTTAGGTGGAACGTCATCGACCTTGAACGCGTGGGACGCGGCTTGCCGCAAGCCGGCTGTGAGAGTTTTCCAAATAGGCACACAAAACATTTGCTCGTAAGCCGTACTTTGCTTCGCCAGGTAGCCAACCGTAAACCTTTCCAGATGTTTGCTACCACCGTGAACCTCTCGCTATGGCCAACGATGTGTTCGTTCCACGGTAGGGCGCTTTCTCGGTAGTTGTTTTGTAGGTCTCTCACCAGCCTCTGACGACGAAAATTTCGTTTATCTATTTTGAATACAACGAGAATGGAGGTATTGAATATCGGAGTTGAAGAAGAAGCCGACGAAGAGCAGCAACAACTTCGGCGAACGCTAATAGTGTCCTCGAAGAGCACACCTCCACTCTGTTGATTGTGACTTTACTGCTTGCCACTTTTACTTTCGTTGCACACTGTGCGTTCTACTTGATGCACTGATAGACGCTTGATGCGACGTTTGCCCGTACCTCTGCAGGAGTGATTCCCTCAACGGTAGCTACACGGTCACCTACGTTCCTCCGAGCGAGGGAGACTATCAGATCGTCGTAACGCTGGGAAATTCCTCGGCTACCTCAGCTATCGCGCACGTGCATGGGCCTCCAAAGCAGGTGATTAAGCTGCAGGATGGCTTACATACTACCAGTACTAGTATTCTGTTCGCGACAACCCTTTTGTGCCCCCGTGCTGTCCCTTCTGTGTGACGCCCTTTAACAACTACCAACCTATACCACTTCGTTATGTCTATGTTCTGGTTAACGCACGCGCATTATACAACAATGGGCTGGAATTGTATGATACTTTTATGGGTTGTTTTTGGTGACTTTCCAGCAGAAAGATCACAAGCTAATCGTTTCAATCTTACCTGTTGACAGCATTTCTACGATCGTGCAAACGGTTCACCTGAAACTCGCTGGTATGCGATGAACTTCCAACCATCTCAGAGATGGGTCGCAGGCGGGAGTTTACTCGACGCGACTAGTGGAGGAGATTTAACACGCTTACGCTTTCTCTGCGAGATCGTGAGGTCGTAGTCCAGCAGCTTCGTTGCTTCCGACCTTCCCTCCATGTTCAGTTAGACACCTTTTTTCTTTTGTCTTTCATCCTGCCGACTCCTAAGCCTCTCGCCCTTTTGGCCTCACTCCCACTCGTCGCACCTCAGGTCGAACGAGCCGACGAGTTCTTCGCCCTGGTCTGCTCTCCTGACGAGGTCGTCAGCCCTGCCGACCGTGCCGACCGTGCCGACGACGACGACGACGACGACGACGACGACTACTGCGACGTCTATGGCTTCGATGACGATAGCGAGAACGACAATCTCGACGAGTACGACGACGACGACGACTTCTGCGACGACAACTACTGCGACGACGACTACGACGACGTCGAGTCGGTGTCATGGACACAGCTCATCTTGCATGTGCTGTTGTTCGGCCAGGCTGTGGGCCTAGCCGTCTTGCCGTTCAGGCTGGCCTGGGAGCACGGCACTGCCATCATCGCGGCGACGAGGTGGACTGTCGACAGGGCGACGGGTGGCGTCGCTGCCATCATCGCGGCGGCGAGATGGGTCGTCCACAAGGCGGTGCGTGGCGGTGCTGCCTTCATCGTGGCGGCGAGGTGGGTCGTCGACATGGCGGCACGTGCCGATGCTGCCATCATCGCGGCGACGAGGTGGCTCGTCCACAGGGCGGCGCGTGACGGTGCTGCCATCATCGTGGCGGCGAGGTGGGTCGTCGACATGGCGGCACGTGTCGATGCTGCCATCATCGCGGCGACGAGGTGGCTCGTCTACAGGGCGGCGCGTGGCGGTGCTGCCATCATCGTGGTGGCGAGGCCGATCGTCTTCAGGGCAACGACAGCTCTCCTGGCTCCAGGGAGAGTTGAACACTTGAGGCTGTTCCTCCGCTTCCTGCCCGCGATCCCAGCGGTTGCTTGGGTATCGCATGCCGTGGCGAACTGGAAAGAGAGCCTTCTCCTGCTGTCCCGTCTGTGGTCTTGCCTCCGCTTCGTCTTGGACCCACTGTTCGGGGTCGTTGTGCGCACGATCTACCCAGTTGCGCGTGTCGTCTTCGCAGTCGGGTTCGTGGCCGTGCTCGTCGTCGTCCTCGTGTTCCTCGTGCATCGCGCTTGCTGGGGGCTCGTGGGCTACGTCGCCAACCGACAGGTATGTGTGTACTCACACGGACGGGTGATTTTTTGCGTGTTGTCGGAAAGAGGATTTTTTCGCAAAAGTAGGGGTAACCTTGTCTTCATAATGCTTCCGCCCTCGTGATATACTTAGTCCGCTGCTTGCCAGACCACGGAATTTTGTGCCGTGGTGCCGGAGCTTGGCATAGGTGACATTTTGATGATTGCGGCTGGATTTCAAGGTTGTCTCACAAATATGTCTTGCACACTTTGCTACATACACCCGCCGCACACGCACCACTCGCCGCAGTTTTGTTTGACATGAACCAGCCCCCCACCGCACCGTCCCCGGTGTCCGTATTTATTTCCTCTGCGACGACGCGCACGTTCCCGCTCCGTGGATGCTGAACGTTGGTTGGATCTAGGAACGAGCTGCTCGATCTCACGACGCCCCCGCCAGTGGTCTCCGCCGAACTCCCAGGTGTCTATTTAGTCCGGCGTAACTCGTAGACGTGTGGGTGCAGTTAGCGCCCCCACGTAGGGACCTCTAGTTTTGGCCGAGCTGAAAATTAACATGTTGTTGTAAGACTCGCGAAATCTTCGAGGCTGAATGTCTTTACTGCCGAGCTCTAACGTGGGGCCGCTAACTGCTGTATAGTTCACCTTAATGTACCGTCGTGCATGCATGCAAGTGATGACGATTAAGAGAAACGGTGTCTGGTCTTTTTTCGCCTGTCGGTCACGTTTATAGCTTCTTTTGCCTGTGAGCGCCGGAGACGCCTCCGCACAACTACCCAAGAAGCTTGGATGAAGAAAGATGGCCATGAAGATACTGTAACACAGCGACCATCCCGGGAGCGAATCTCTCCCCCCGCCAAACAAGGAAACATTGCGGTTCGTGACGTATGTACCCGGACCCGCGGCGTGACTTGCTGTTTACCAGGCACGTCTCAACGCCCGACTGTGACTGGCTCACCAGCGTCGAGGCAGCGGTCATCCACCTCCTATGCGGGGTGCCACGACTTCGAGATGAGCTGCTGGACTTCGAGCACCAGGACGTGTATAAGTCCTGGTGGGCGACCATCAAGTCGTGGTTCATCTGTAAGTCGGAGGGCTTGAAGTACTGGAATTTGGAGACTGCTCCGGGCACAGAATATTGTGTGTTGCTACCGATGGGACAACTCTTTTCGCCCGAGCAGCCACGACGTTTCGACCATGTAGTCTACCTGTTGAGGGTTTCGAGGAACCGCTTTCTACTTTGTAGATCCCAGCCGGAAAAAATGCGACACGCGTTGTTCGAGTGTGGTTCCCAAACATGCCCATGCCCCACAGCAGTTCAAGAACGTTTGATTAGAGTGCACATTAACCTAACGCATGACGGAGGTTGGCATCTGCGCTGTGTTTCCACATTTTACCCCCCAACACACCCTTTGGTCGAAGCCCAAAAAACAGATGTACCTGTCTGTTCTTGAAGGACTCGCGGAAAGCTAGAGACATCCCGCAACGCTGTTCATGCTACTCTCACCAACACCGCAATGCTTCCAGGAAGCCATGATGTTTGCCATGCAACCGTGCAGACACAATCAAAGCTCGACAAGCGCTCGCTGCCCGCATGATTTGACACACACGCGCACTCCTTCGCCAACGCCACTCCGCTGTTCTCCGGTCCACTCCAAATACCGACAGCGCCTCGCCAGCGGCTCGAGCGCAACTTCGTGCTGCAGCTGGCCGCCATTGCTCGGGTACGTGCGTAGCCGTGTTAAAGTGGTATCCCGATGTTTCCACGCCAGCGCGAAAGACTTGCGCAATATTGTTCAGCGAGCGATTCCCTCTTGGGGCAAGTGCCGATCGCGATGCTGTGCTTCTGCTGGTGTAGAAAACAAGTGGGAGGTTTTCATGTCAATCTACTGTGCTTGGAAAATAAGCTACTGACTTACCTCGCCGCGTGGTAATCAACGCCATCTACGCCGCCATCTGATACACGCTGGTTCAGGATCACAGCCCCAGACTGCGTAAAGGGCAACCGACTGACGAAATTATATTTTAGTGAAACGTCTCTCGCTTCATCTCCCCTATTTTGATCCCGCCGATCGTCTTGTACCTCACTACTACAACTGTGCATGTGTGTGTCCTTGCGTTGACGGCTTGCATAGGTTGTCGGAAAACGGGGGTTGGGGACGTGCCGCCTGCCGCTAACAATGACGAACGAGAATTTCCTCCTCGTGATCCACCTGTCCTCGTCGTGCAATCCAGGGCCTCTGGTACGACGAGATCAACCCCGACAAGATCGACCTTCAACAGGACCCGGAACCTTTCGACAAGGATCCGTCCGGGATTTACGTTAGAATCATCGAACTGGGGAACATCGTTCGTCGGCTTCTTGGTCTCTCCCGGGCCTTTCAAACTCCGGCAAGCGCAAACGGGGCTAGTTGACGACAGTAGTTGAAGACGTGACTGGTGATAGTGGTCATGCAGCTTGTTGGCTTCGGAGGAACCTTACACTAATCTGTACTGCTTGTTGGCTTCCCAGGATGCGCTACATTCCACCAGCAATCATTTTTTTTTCTGTGGCCCGGGGATGTTTCTCACACACATGGTTCGTATTTCGCACAAGTTTCTGAGGTGCCGAAGAAAGTGGAAAGTGCACCTGAAGCGAGATTCTACCTCTGCTTCAACTCGAAATCCTGACTGGTTGTGATAGCGCTGGTAACCCCATCCTGGGTCTCATTCGGTGACATCGGAATATTCAAACGCGGTTAGACTCATTTGTCTGTGCAGTGACAAGAACAAATGGGGATTTTTCTTCGGGATGACAGCACATGACAGGCAGTTATGTTTCATCGTTCGAGCATCTATTTGGACTGAACCCGCGATGGCGTGGTATCCCCGCATTCCTTCAATTCGATATTCGGGCGAACTGCGGGGCAAGGCAGGCGGAGAAAGACATAAGGCATTAATTGCGGCACTGTAGGTCCCACTCCTTGACAACCAAGAGGCTCCATTTCGTTGTTTGAGAACAGGCAACAGTACGGCACCAGCGCCTTGGATTTTGTTGTCAATCGTTAACACCGGAAGAAGCACCACAATATGAACCCGCCGGAATGTGTCTCATCCCCCGGAATCGACAACACAATAGATAAATACCGGCACGTCAGCAATAACCTTTCGACCCGTTGCTCGGCGTTCCAGGCACCCCTCGTACGCGATCAGCACGACATGGTGCTCCAGGTGTTCCTCCAGGCCTTGCAAAACGTGCTCCCGCTCGAGACGGTAAGACCTCATGCCATGCTACACAGAGAGATCGACCATCCTTAGCCTTCATAGTTCGCCTGTGCCATATTGCAGTAGGACAGTACGCCGAGCAGGAAAATGTGAATGTCAACCACAACGATCACGAAATTTAAAGGCACACCACTATAGTTGAACCGTACGTCTGCAGTAAAGACAGTCACTTTACTCAATGTTTCGCCAGTAGGTGGGTTGCCCCCACTCTATTATGCGGTATCCTCGCCATGTGATTGCCAAGGCCAAGAAGGTGCAATCCTCACACAGTCCGTCCGTAGGAATTTTGAAACACAGAGAAAACCAGACACTAGTGTCTGGGATCAACCAGGTCGACAGAGTACGAGACTCGATGCTGGGATTTCGGTTGGATCACAACGGATGAATGAAGTATCTGCAGGAGAGGCTAACCGGCCGAACACCAGCCACTGTCAAGTCTGAACTCTTTGTGGCGCAGGGCAGTGCACAGTACATTCTCTCCCTCGTCCCGTTCTGTTGATCAGAATCTGTTCTGTTCGTCCATCATGCACAAGCTTCCTTTCCTGGTGTTGCTTTCCGGGACAACGCCAGTTTCTTGCTGATGTGGTTGTGGCCATGCTAACATCGACCTCCCTACCGTTGTTTTCGTGCAGATGACCTTCGTCGACTTCCGGAAGGTTCGCGCGTACTACGAGGACAACGTGAGTGCATGTTGCAGTGTCGCCTTTTGAGGAAGGACAGGGGGTGACATGCGGCTTGCATAGGGTCACGCTCAGCTGCCCGAAATCCCAGCTCTGCATGAAACGTGGCGCGGTACCAACTCGCCCAACAAAGAGATCGTCTAATGCGTACCACCGGCGACTCAATTTGTTTTATGCAGTGTTTGCGGGCAAGGGGTTGAATTGGACCATGAGTCGGGTTTTTGTACCAAGAGCCTGACTTGTCTTCTTGCACCGGAATCGTTGAGACCACACCTCTCGCAGGCTAAACCTTACAGTCTTGTCGGTTCTATTTCGTGCATGCTCGAAGTGACACGATGCCATGATAGACCACATTCCTGAGCGTAGGAAGTGCATTTCTAACAACGAAGCTAGGGACCGAACCGATCTGCAGAACGCGCGAGTACTGAACGTGTATAGTCTAGCAAACGGTGCGCACGAAAGGGCAAGACGCCTTATTTCACGCTCCATCCACAAACCCACCTGCGGAGGATCTCGGTGTAGGGTATACTCGGGCTCATGTTGCAATCGCTGAACCAGGGGCGGTCGGCATTTTCCGAGTATGTACCGTAGATACGCTTACGAGACAGCCATGAGCATGGAAAACGCTACACCCTCGCAGCACATTTGTTTTGGCGATGTCCGCACAGAAATGTGAAAACATGTCCTCTGTATCCTGTCGCGAGGACGACTCAGCGATGTATTCTAGAAGCACCTCGGCAACGATGCGTTTTGTTTGAAAGTGTCCGTGTAGCGTGATCCCACATGTCACGAAATTGATCTCTGAACGAATCGCTTGCATTTGGCCGCCGCCACCCGTTTTCGCTTCGCGCATGTGGCTGCAACCCTGCAGTTGGCCCTCGTGGAGCTCGACGAAGCCCCCGACCTGCTCTTTGTCGTCTTGGACGAACAGGCCAGGTGCGTGCCGCCCGTTGTGCTGGCAGAACGTACCTACATTGTACACCCGGTTCGGGTTATTTTGGCGAGCCCATATGGTGTCGTCGTCGTGTATTACTGCTGTGCTTGTTGTTGTTTATGCTGCTAAACTTGTTCTCCAATGTGTATGCCTGACAATTGATGTTTCCTCAACTGTTACGGTTTTGGTAAGCGTCTGAAACTCCTCTCCGCTCGACCCGCCGATCTCTTGTTTTGCCGATCTCTCGCTTCGCAGGCACGACCGCAAGAAGCGAACGGAGCGACTGCAGGTCATGTTGTTTGACACCGACGGTGAGACAAAACCTCTACGTGTTTCGGTTGCACAGCCTGCCCTTTTCTAGGTTGTGTTGAAAGTCTTGCACGCAGGTCTGGGAAGGTGAAATACCGCTTTTAAGAAACGTAGCTGGCCCTAACCTCAGGGTACATATCCAGAAATCATCGCCCGGCAAGAACGAAGTACATGACTTGTAGTGTTCAACGATGTTTTTGACGCGATGCACAATTAATGTTGGACTTCCATCTGAAGTTCACCCACACTCATCCAGTTCTGCCTCGTGTTTTTCGTGCCTCTTCTCTTCATTCTCCCGCGGGCAGACGTCGTCAACTACACCCCGGCGGCCGTCCTGAACGGCTCCATCGACGGCGACACGGTCGTTTCTCGCGTTGACCTCGACGATGACCTCTGGTACCGCTGCACCGGAGGCAACGTCGCCTCCAAGCTCGTCCAGCTGGGGGTCGCGACCGGAACAACCGAGGACGGCATTCCCGTAGTTCCGTGGCTGGAGGCGGCCGACAAGCCGACGGCCATGGTTTTCCGCAAGAAGGCCACCAAAAAAGCCACCTAAAGGGCCTCCTCGTGTGTCGCGGGTATCGGTCGGGTTTTGGGCTTCCGATCATTTCGTGTGAGTGTCTGTGTTGGAGTGGAGCATGCAGATACCCCCGGCGTCTCGACTTTGACCCCCTCCCTCGCTCAATGGTTTTCTGGGAGCGCACACACGGCCGTAGGAACCCCGCTTTTTTTTTTTTTTTCTCACCCTGCCTTGCAGGGATACAGAGAACCGTGCGATCTTGTTGCTTGTGTTGATTTGCGATATTCGATGCTTTTTTGCGTTTGTGTTTTATTTGTTCGGCGTCGCGTGTTGAGCGGGAGCGATGGGCTCTATGTACCCCTGTCCTTCTTCACGTTTGATCGCACGGCTCTGTCGTTGTTGATTTTCTACCCCATAGTTTGACAGTCGAAGAGGTAGAGCGAGGCCGAATCATGCGAGCCTTGATGCTTCTTGTGAAGATGAATTTATTTTCTGAGGGGAAAATACAACAACATTGTATCGCAGTAGCAGCCGTCAAGCCGCTGCAACGGTTGCGTCGCAAGGGTTTGTTTCCTTGCACTGGTTTAACCCTCACCAGACGTGATGCGGAGACTATGCACCTTAGTCCTAGTTGTCCACAGTATGTACGATGATGTTGGGCGGAAACTCTTTGCCACTGCCGCATTTTGATGTTGTGGACCAACCACCCAACCGATATACTGTCGATCTATGGTTGTTTTCGCTTGGGCTTATCATGTCCTTGTCGAGGAGAGCAATGGGTGTTGTTGTGCAGTTTCAGAGTGTAGATCTGCTGGACAACACGTTTTATCGCACGGCTCTGTTGTTGATTTTCTACCCCATAATTTGAAAGTGGAAGAGGTAGCGCAAGGCCGGATCGTTCGAGCCATGATGCTTCTTGTGAAGATGGATTTTGTGAGGGGCGAAGGCAACAGCATTGTAGCGCAGCAGCAGCCGTCAAGCCGCTGCAACAGCTGCGCCGTAAGGGTTTGTTTCATTGCACTGGTTTAGTTAGCCCTCACGAGACGTGGTGCGGAGACTGTGCACCTTAGCTCTAGTGTCTACGGTATGTACGACGATGTTCGGCGGAAACTCTTTGCCACTACCGCATTTTGATGTTGTGGACCAACCACGCAACCGATGTACTGTCGATCTATGGTTGTTTTCGCTTGGGCTTGTCACGTCCTTGTCGAGGATAGGAATGGGTGTTGTTGTGCAGTTTCAGGGTGTAGATGTGCTGGACGATACGTTTGATCGCACGGCATGTTGTTGTGGTTGCCGTTGATGTTTGTTTCACAGTGGAAGAGGTAAAGGGAGGCCGAATCATACGACCCTTGATGCTTCTTGTGAAGATGGATTTTGTGAGGGGCGAAGGCAACAGCATTGTAGCGCAGCAGCAGCCGTCGAGTCGCTGCAACAGTTGTGCCGTAAGGGTTTTTTTCCTTGCATTGGGTAAGCACTCACCAGACGTGGTTCCGAGACTATGCACCTTAGTCCCTGTTGTCTACAGTATGTGCGATGATGTTCGGCGGAAACTCTTTGCTACTACCGCATTTTGATGTTGTGGACTAACCACCTAACGAAATGTATGCCCTGTCGATCCATGGTTGTTTTCCCTCGGGGTTATCATTATGATGTTCCTTGTAGAGAGAGGAATAGGGGGTGTTGTGCAGTTTCAGTGTGAAGATGTGCTGGACGACCCGATAGATCGCACGGCTCGCGCAAGCGGACCCGGCGGGGGAAGGGCAGGGAGGAACCAGGAAAACGCCGGTCGGCGAGGAAAAGGGCGATGCCTCGAAAAGGGTCGTGCGGCAACTCCGAGGGGGGGGGGGGCAGAGAAGGGTATCTACACGAGCGCGTTGTATCACACACCGCATGCTGCATCAGCCGACCGACTGGCGGCAAGAATTGATTTTATTGGGTTCTGTTTCCTCTTTTACTTGTGATTTGGCACTCTGTGGCGGGTGCGGTGGCCAGACCATGTCCGTCCCTTATTGGGCTGCCACGGCACAGCCAAATCTTTCCTTTTGGCTAGCGTGCATCACGCGCGGAGTTCCTTGAGTTTTCGCGCCATCAATAAACAAGCAATTAGCTGTGCTTACGGCCCATTGTGTCGTTCAAGGATTTCGGACTCAGCATGTTGGTGAAAACAGGGCCATTGTTGCCAAGCGTCATTGCAGGGACCGGCAGGGACACGAGCTGATGCTGCAGTGAATGAAGAAAAAGCAAGGGCTTGGTGCGGTGTGAGGTGTTCGTGTATAATTCACTGGTCTGCACGCTGTATGAAAGATTGGCGCGTAGGAGTCTACTGATTTTTTTTGCTTACCCTTGGTTTGAAATAAGACCGCGGTTAGAAGTGTGCATGGTTCGATTCTTCGGAAAATTCGTCAGCTAAAGTGCCGTATGTTTTTGGTTGATTGAGCACTCCGCACGTTGTGGGAAGAGAAGGCGCTCTTTCTCCGACACTCCTTCTATGTTGTGTTTCATGCCGAGTATATTGCGCGCGTGTTTTTCACTTCTGTGCGTCTGTCTGCAACGCCCTTCGTTTATCCTCTGACCTTAAGAGAAAAATGTCGTTACAGTGTGTGTGATGGATTCAGCACTCATTGGATTGGCGGTTGCACCGTATCTTGCGACCCCCAGTGCTCTCTTTGATGCTGCATTTTTGTGACGAAACAGCGAGGGAAAAAGCATCGCGTCGCTTGCGCAAAGGGTTTACATAGAGTGATTCTGGAGCCTTGCCTGATGATGTGATGATGGGCAGGATGCACATAACCAGAGGTGAAAGGTCAGTCTGATATTGTCGGGGTTGTTCTTTGACGATCGGGGACGATGCCAAGCGTCGTAGCAGTCATTCTTTTTTTTTGTAGTATGCTGAAGACAGATACGTCTTTCTCCCTTTCTCTGTGGTATTTTCTGAGGTAGAGGGGTGTCTGCCTTGCCTTGTTTGCAGTGATGGCCTCCGTGGTCATGTGGGGTGTGATCTTCCCTATTGTCGGCATTGCCCTTTTTTTCCACGAGACTTTCGTGTTACTTCCGTTATCCCCTGTATCTCGTCAGCACAGAATGAAAACGACCTCTGTGCGGCTGGCTTACTTACGTGATCATTACTCCTGTACCCCTGTTCGAATGTTCCGCTTCCCGGACCAGTCCGGCAGGTTGTTTGTGTTTCGAATTCTCGGTTCGGGTTGTTTTTTGTTTCCATTCCCTCGAATCGCGCCAATTACGTTGCCGTGACTGAACAAGGTTAAGGTGGGCACGTGCCTGTCCGCTCCTTCTACCTGGCTGATGTTGTATTTCGTGACTAACCGCACGGATGACGTGGTGTTGGATGGCTTGCACACTTTTTCTGTAGGAGAAGTGCCTGATTGCTTGTCTGCCAGATATGTGCAATCTTTGTGTTGTTTTGGATCCCTGGTCGGCGGTGAGAGACAGGCTGCATCTGAGCTTGTTGCACGAAAAATTGAAGGAAACACGTGCTGTACATCCCGAACCACAATGTAAAACGTTTGAGACACTGTTGAAGGCTTCCGCGCTTGACAGCAGTTGAGTGGACCGCACTCACTGGGAGCCGCCACAGCTGGCAAGCTTGTGGAAATTTTGTGCATAGCCCGCTGCCACGCGAGTTCCTTCCGTAGTTTCCGAAACTCAAACCGGTCTACATTTTCATGGCTGATATCTTCTCGCCATTTCTCTCGGTCTGCTTGTTCAACCAGATCAAACACCAATTATACAGCCGAGTCGTCGAACGCCCCATACCGCCGATTCACCAGGGCGGTATAACAATGCATGTTTGTTGAAATCAAGCGTACGTTGAGCATAACCGGACACAACAAGCTTGATTTTGCCGAGCGTGAGAGGCAATAATGAGCGATAACGGGCATTCTTAGAGATTGTCAAAGAGAACAAATGGCGAACATGTTTCGCTGTGTGGAGCTCGTACTACCTCAAAAAGAAGAACGCTCAACGCAACACCGTGATTTCATTGGGTCAGAGCCAAAAAAATATCGGAACGTCTCATAGCCTTCCACTCAGGACAGGAAGCCCCGATTGGGGGCGCACCTGATGTTGACGACTTGTTTGAAACATGATTTTTTTCGTCGAATTCTTCCAATCCCGCTAGAAACTTGACAACCGAGTTTATCGGGGCGTCGACAGCAATGCCTATCGACGATAGCACCCAAACAGTAGTGTAGTCGGAGCTCGCCACGCATACAAATATGAAGGCATCGCGGCCTTCTCGTACCGCTAGAAGTGCTGCCGAGACAGCGTATAGGAAAAACCTACGCGGTGCCAAGCGACGCGCTGTGACTCTGGTGCGGAGCTTACCGAAGACAGGAAAAACAACGAGGTTCTGCGCAGGGGTGATGTCTGCAGAGGTAGTGAGGTGTCTGGGAGCAACCGCCCGACAATCGCGGGTTTTTGGGAAGAATATGTGTTTTTTCGGGCCGCTGGGGTTGCGTCTACTGACCCACACGACAAGCGTCGCGGATAATTCGGCCCAAAGGACATCAACCTCGACTCATCATCGTGCCAACTGGTTGGGTTATTTCTCTTTTGCTGAGATGGCAGGGCCGGGTTGAAGAATAAGTTTGGCGGGAAACCTTGGAGAGCAAAAGTTTGGATCATCAACACGTTCTAAAACCGTGGAACCAGACTCCGGCGGCGGCGGCTCACCTGTGACACGGTGCAAGCCACGTTCCAACCGGAATGACATGGATGACTACCTAAATATGTGCCGGACAATGCATTGAACGATCGACTTGAGTAGTCCACAGTACCAGTATTCACCAACCTCCACCCCATCTGAATGTCACGATGTGGATCACGACGTGGATCAACACTCGGGCGCCAACCGGTAGGCGTCAAGGGTTGGTTGTGATGTCTCGCGCATATTGTTACGAATCACAGCGAACGAGGTCACCTACAATACGTGGGAACGGGAACACGTGACCTCTCTGCAGATGGAAAATAGAAGGCGTATAGATAACGCCGCAGAATGCACCTCTTTCTTGGTCGCCTTTGGGGTCGGGGAGAGCTAGAAGTCGACGCTTGCCAGGAAACCCTGCTCGCAGTAATGAGGTGCACGTTGTTGTCCTGAGCTTGCACGAAACGTAGTTGGAGACCAACTTATCGCCGGTGGTTAGAACGTGTGTCGGAGTGGCATGAAACACGGGGGTTTGTGGCCGCTAGGGTGATGGCGTTGTTGCACAAGAGTCAAGAGGGGGCTTGCAAATGACTCGAGCTACGCTGACTTTTGTGTTCAATCCCTCGACGTGGTTCGATCGTCGCCATGAAACACTTCTCGAAGAAAGGCTAACGTTGCCTGTGAGGCGATTGCCAATTGTTTCCATGAATGCCCCGACCCATGGCATGATCAGCACACACTAGGTAGATGCCGTCAACAAGTTGCTTATGCAGAGTCCAGTTGATCTCAGATGCCCCCTCTCACGGGGAAGGGTTTGTCGTTTTTCCTGCAGCCGCCGCGGAGGGACTCTGTGCGCTCTCTCTTGAACATATCCCTATTTTTCCTAATCTTTAGACGCCGTGGCACACCGTGCTCTTAGTATTGCCTCCGGCCTCTCTTTGTGCTTTTCTTCTTTCTTGTTCTCCATGCCCTCTCTACGATGATCTTGGACGATACCTCGAGCTCCTTGTTATTTTTGTTTTTTCCTTTGCTGGCTGCCTGCCACCTCTGCTGCCTCTTTGGTGCGGTGCCTACCCTACACTAATGCGCTGGTGCATACTGCACTGCTGTAGTACCTGGTACTGGTGTACGTTGTCCTTCGATTTTTTATTTTTTTTGTGGGAATATATATGTGTTTGTTTTTCGCCCCCCGTCTTGCTGCACCCCCTGGGGTGTGGTGCAGGGCGGGGGATGCCTGGTCGGCGGGAACCCGGCACGGAACCCTCCGGCGTTGTAGGCGGGTGTGGGAAGCGTTCCCCGTTCTCCTTTTATTTTATTTTGATCGGTCTCCTCGACGCTCTTTCTCGTTTGGTGCGGTAGCTGGTCTTTCTTTCTATCATTTTGTTTCTCTTCCGAGTGGTTTTTGTACCCTATTTTTTTCTGTTTCTTCGTGGGGTCGTGTATGCCGGGTTTTGAGACCACGGACTCCCAATCTTTCTTTTTTTAGAGCTAATGTGAGAAACAACAACAACAACAACAACCGTGTTTCTGTTTTTCATGACCTCCCTGCCTGCTCTGCTGTGTTGGGTACCTTGATCTCGCTTTGCTGTTGCCTTTGTTTTTTGTACGGCTGGCTGTCTGCCCATCTGCCGCCTCTTTGCCCTGTTTGCTCCGTTACTCCCATGCCCTGGTGCGCAGTGCCTGGTGCTGGTACGTTACCCTTTGATTTTTTCTTTCGGCGGGTGTGGGAAGCGTCCTCCTTTATTTTTTTGTTATTTTTGTTTTGTTTTATTTTGATCGGTGTCCGTGGGCTCTTTTCTCGAACGGTCGGTGCGATACCTGTTCTTTTCTTTCGATCATTTTGTTTTCTTTTTCCGAGTGGTTTGTACCCTATTTTTGTTTTTTTGTTTTCTCGCGGCGTCGTATGTGCCGGGTTTTGAGACCACGGGCTACCCATTTTTTGTGGACTATAGAGCTAATGTGAGAAACAACAACAACAACAACAACCGAACACGGTTGGTGTTCTCGCTGATGTTATGACTATCTACAGCAGTAGAACGTTAGCTTCAACCGCGCTAGCAGGCGATAATTCTACAGGTGTAGACGTGGGCGGGATCGCGGGCGGGATCGCGGGCGGGATCGCGGGATCTGGTATTCTGCTGTAATTTTTTTTTTTCGAGTTTGCTGCTGTTGGTGTAAATGCGGTGTATTTCGTATCTTTTCGGGAAACATTCGATTCGGAGCTTCGGGCTTCGGAGCAGGTTCTCTGCGTGCTGCACAAATCAATGGCCCCCGAGATCATGAGCGAAACATTAGCCTCCGCTCTGTGCGATCGTATTCGGAAGGTCTGAGATATTGTCGCACTCGGTTAGTCCACAACGTCAACCCTGACAGTGCCTGTCTCACGTGCATGATGACATGATGACATGATGTCCCGGACATGATGTGCGCCGGCGGGCATGCGGCAGGTGATTGCCCCGCGGGTGGCGGGTGGGGGGGGTGGCGTCATCCTTTTTTGGGTTGCGGACCCCCCTGGAGCTTGCCTGGTGGGGTGCACATGCGTTGCGTGTTGCGTGCAAGACCTACGTGACCATGATGTACTCAACCGCAGTGATCGGTGGCGCGGCTGTGACCAGTAACGTTTGGGCGTCTACCGCTTTTGTGCTTCCTTCAGCCTCGCCTTTCGTTGGGCCCAGGACTGATGTATATTGTGAGGGGTCAACACGAACCGTTGGCAACCGCAACTCTGCCTGCGGTCCGATGATGGCGCTCAAGGGCTTGGCTAGAAAGGTGCGGAGGCAGGGGGCGAGCGTGGTGTGGACGCCCTTGCTAGCGCCATTGGGAGTATCTCTGTGCTGTGCTGCCCTGGCGCTGTGTTGGCTCGATGGTGCGCGTGCAGGTGTGACGTTCCTGTGCGCTGCCAGTAGTGTAAGGTGTCGGTACGTGTGCATACAAAGTTGAAGTCTGTTCTCTGTCCCAATTCTCTATCCCAGAGATATGGCAAGGAGGAGCCCAGGAAGCCGCGAGAAACTAGCTGCCAATGTGCATGGACTTGCCTGCGCCATGCTGGTATTACGCCGCACGTGTCGATTCGTGCTCCCTAGCTGTATTGTTCATGTTGTATGGCGTCATGGTCGGTGTTCATATTCCTCATCCACGTTCTCAACATGGCACTTGTGGCCTTTGCTTCTGTTCTTGATGCATGCTAAATAATGCTGCTGCTGTCTGTTGTCGATGCTGGCTGTCTTGTTGCTGTAAGCCAGGCAAAGGAGGCGCAAGTTTCGAAGGACATGGACGAGCTGCGTTCGGCCGAACCCGACAGCCCGGTGTTTCAGCTGTTGGAAAAGGTCCGCCGCTCAACCGTTTCAGGGAAACGCCTCGTTTTGTACGGGTGTTTCGACAAGGAAGGCTTCTTCTTGGCTAGACACGCTTGCCTACGATGAGGACCACGGGTCCGGTTGAATTGGACTTTGTGAGAGGGGCTAGCGCCTCGAATCGCGTGTATGATGGGGGGTAAAGGCGTCTATTGGTGTCAATACATGACGGGGTCTATGGAGGGGTCAACATGGCGCCAAGCTCGTCTGCGCGCGTGGGGGCACTTTGAGTTTTCTTGTCGGAGGGCGGTCGGTGTACGGGAGGCTGTGTGCTAGAGATTGAAATCGCTCCAGTTTGCTGAACGATTACCCAGTCTTTGGCTAGGGTAGCGCTGTGACGCGACCATTCGTGCGAAATGGAACACATGGGAGGCTTTCGTGACAGGGGCTGAAATATCTAGGAACTTTTCTGCAACTTTTGTGGGGCGCTGTGTACAGCAGCTTTGGAGCGACGCCCGCAGTAGATTTCGAACGGTCAATTCACGCCAAGAGGCCGGGTCATTTACTTTGGGGAACACAGAACGCCGGCAGACTTGCCATTTGCCTCACAGCATCTCTACTGTCTTCGTTTGTGTTCCCTCTTTTTTCTTTCCCTCAACCGCTCTTTTTTTTTTCTGTTATCGGCGCTGGCCCGATCCTGGCGGTGTGGCACCCTCCATCAGGCGGAGGCGGGGAAAGGAGCAGGGGACGGGCCAGAGTACCCCCTGTCTGATGTGCTTCGAAAGAACAAGGGGACCCTCTCGGTGGTGGCGGAGTACAGAAAGATCCTCAAATCTGGTGGGTGCCCTGGGCCAGTGTGTTGTTGTGTGTGTTTTCGTATTATGATATTTTTATTATGGCGACATTCCCCCCATTTTTCGTGATGAAATGCGTACTACACTTCTTCAGTGTATGTGGAGTACTACACGTGTATTTTTACCTACAGCTACAACCATCCAGGGTCACACACTTGATTATTCTGGAAGAATACACGAAACGATTGCTGTTGTCCATTGGTTGGTTGGTCCTCTACAGCTCGTCGAGTTAGGTCGTGACACAAGCGTGAATACCTGAGTCTAGGGTGGCGCATGTAACCAAGAGTATATGCTCTTTCTCTCTCCCTTCGTCCACTTCGTGTGTGTGTAAATGGGCACGTATGGGTATCCGGCCGGTGGATACCCCTTACTCTCGTACCCGGGTCGCTCTGCCGCAGGTTTCATCGACGGAATCTTAGCGCCGGAGCTTCTGTGCCCCCTACTGCGCAACGGAGGCGCTGCCTGCATCGCCGTCGCCACTGAACCGTGAGCATGAAAAAACGAAACTACCAATAATGTAGACCAGTTTCCTTGCCATCCCGGTGTATTGTGGAAATGGGTGCCACGGGTGAGGTTCGAGGACACCATGAGGTATCCACTTGTGACCGTTTTCGTTATAGCAGTCGTCCGGAGCTTCTGTGCCCCCTACTGCGCAACGGAGGCGCTGCCTGCATCGCCGTCGCCACTGAACCGTGAGCATGAAAAAACGAAACTACCAATAATGTAGACCAGTTTCCTTGCCATCCCGGTGTATTGTGGAAATGGGTGCCACGGGTGAGGTTCGAGGAAACCATGAGGTATCCGCTTGTGACCGTTTTCGATATAGCAGTCGTATGTCAACTATAGGGTGGGTGAAGTCTCCTTTGCAGAGATGAGAATAGCCACCTTGAATAATTCTCTGATAATAGGCTCGTGCCCTATACGGTGAAATCGACCTGGCATACGCCCGCCCTGTGAAGAACCGCTCCTTTACAAACAAGCGTCAGGGAGAGGCAGAACATGTGGGGTGGTTGCTTGATGTCGACGACGGACCGCTCTATTGGGCGTGAATATCAGCAAGATGTTGGACTTCCGTTGAACGTGTTCTTCTCCTTGCCGCCTAGCCGGTGAGCAGGCTAAGCTTTTTTTTAGGCCATTGCTGCGTCGCCGAGACCAATGGGGAGAAAACAAAGGGGCCAGAAGAACGAACAAGTTGGAACTACGTAGTTGTACATGTGCTGAGGCATGACGTTTGGCATCATGTCCACAACGACACCGTGCATTTGTGCCCCTTCCTTTCGTTCACCACTACTGTCCGTTTAGTCCGCACGTAGAGCCACACATAGCTAGATTTGTTCTGTCTGGCGGCACGTGAATATATGTATAATTCATTTACACATGACCGCCTATGTGGCCTTCCTTGCGTGGGAGGGACCCCGCTGGCGCTTCGTTTGTACAAAAAGTTGTTCGAACTACAATAGGCGTTTAGGATTGATCGGACGGCACTTGCATGTGAATACCTCATGTGTTCCTGTCCGTCGCGAGGGTCCACATCTCCTCTAGCTTGATTTGCTGGTGGTATAATATTCGCCACACGGTCGCAATGAACGTGGCAACACCACACACACCGCTGCACCCCTGCTCGGGTGCCAGCATGAACCCTCATTCTCTCTAACTCAAAGCGGTGCCGTCCATTATTCTCGTTCACATTAATCTTCTCATGAGAGTCATGGCCCTAAATCGTAAACATCGTTTGTTCAAATCGCAGCCTGACCGGTGGTTGCTCGGATGCCGACGTGAAGACGGTGGTGGAGGAGCAGGAAAACAGCCGGGGAGACTTCCCGGGCCCCATGCCCGTGATCATCAGGTACGATTCTAACGATGTTGCCAGTCATGGGTGGTGCGCATTGCGCCGCATTTTTCGTGCGGATAACCTTTGATTGGATCAATTTTGTTGGATGAGCTACTCATTGTCTCTAGATGTGTTTCCTTAGACTTAGAAACACCCGGACGCGTTGCTGGGCTTCGCGTTTTTTAACACGAACAATGCGCTTCTTGAGGTGAAATGGCCACATCGTGCTGTCTGGTTTTCTCGACTGGTTTACTTTTTCAACGTCAATTGTGATCGACGCCCGTCGGCCACCGCCGTAAACCTCTGGTTCTTGCTCCTCCGACTTTTTCCGACAACGATCCCATGTACCGACCACCTCACCGGCCAATCCTCGGGGTTGTCTCTGTCTTAAATTCGAAGGGATCTTGTAATCTCCGAGTTCGAGATTGCTCGCGCCAAAGCAGCGGGGGCAGCGGGGGTAACGGTGGTGCTCGCTCTCGTTGGCCCCGAACGCGCGGCGGAGCTAGCTGCGTTTGCCAAGAAGCTAGGTAAGGGTCGGCGGGAGCGGGGAAGGCTCAGCTGTCGCCCATGGCTCCAGTTGTGATGCCGTTGCTGTGGAGGACGTAATGTCGATGACAGACCGTCGCATCCCGGCGAAATGCCGGACGAAGCACCTAAGCGGTTGAAGGAGCGCTATCGAAGAAGTAGGAGGAGTCGCTGATGGGTGTCGAATTGTCAAAAGCGATTACGCGGGGGCGGGGGGTGTACTCATAGTCGTGCATGCCGTAGTCGTTAGACCATTGACCTCGCATCCCTACAAAGCCGG